GTATTTTGCTTTGAATAACAATTGGTCTTTCTTTAAGTTTGTTAATTCTCATTTATTGCTGTGGCTCATCTGCTGTCATGAGTTCCTGTATTTTTGAACTCTAGGCCTTGGGCTTGCCAGGCAGCTGCTCTACACTTGAAACCGTGCCCCAGCCCTGTTTTGCTTTTATTTATTTTTTGGATAGGGTCTGGCATTTTTGTCTGGGGCGTGCCTCAGACAGTGATATTCCTATTTGCAGTCTCCCATGTAGCTGGGATTTAGGTATGTTCCAACCATGGCCAACTTATTTGTTGAAATGAGATCTCACTAACTTTTTGCCTGGGCTGGCCTCACATGGTGATCCTCTCGAATAGCTGGAATTACAGGTGTGAGCCACCATGCCTGGCTAATAAGTTCCTCTATTACATATATATTGTATTTTGTAGTTCTAAAATAGCTGCCTTAGTAGCCCCAAACATTAATTTTCATTTTCTTATTTATATCATGGTTTGGAAAATGCCTACAAAGAGAAAACCAGTATAGAACTTGATTCATCTGAGTTTTCTTATTTTCAAGGATTGTAGCCCTGTGTTGGTTGCTGTATGTTGACTGTACATTTCCTTCCTTCTTTCCTTCCTTCCTTCCTTTCTCCCTCCCTCCCTTTCTTCCTTCCTTTCTCCTTCCCTCCCTACCTCCTTCCTTCGTTCCTCCCTCCCTACCTCCTTCCTCCCTTCCTTCCTCCCTTCCTCCCTTCCTCCCCACCTCCCCACCTCTTTCCTCCCTCCCTCCCTTCCGTCCTTCCTTCCATCTGTATTGGTCCACCTTTTGTAGATGTTTGTGGCAGGAGGGTATTCCAATAGCAGCTACCCCATCTGACCCAAAATAAAAGTCCCAATTGTTTTAAAATATGAAAATATATTCCATTGTATAATAGTGGGCTTTTACTTGAAGTATTTAGTATATGATTTTATGTGTTCTCTGATCCATTCTTCACTGGAGCATGATAGATAGTTGAGCCAAGTAGAAGGACTTATTTCAGTAATAATAAGTATATACATCTTATAAAATCAAAATGGTCTGAGATAATAGTAATTTGATGAGGGGATGAAGTGGTACTTGCTTTCCAAAGATTGAACCCTAAACAGTTGGGCCAATAATGGGTTTAATATTTTAGATTTCAACTGAGAAGTCATCTGCCAGGTTTGAGATATACATTAACCCTAGTTGAACTGGGCTTAGGTGTTACCATGAAAACACCTTTCCTTGGCTTATCAGTTATTAATACCTAATTTTTAATACACAAAAATCATAAATAATTAGGTATCAATTTTGTGTTTTTTGTGTATATGTCCAGCATCTTAAAAATATTTCATAAATATTTTAGCCCACACTCTTTGTCTGCATTCACAGTTTGTATGGGAAACTTGGCTGTTAAGTGATCAACCTTGTCACTTATTCCATGTTCTTTTTTGTACTGTGCTGAATAGAAAGACTGTCTGGTCACTATTTGCCTACACCGTTCTGATACAACTAGATAGTTGGCATGGGTCCTGCTTTCTCTCTTTTGCTCTGTGTGTGTCTCTTCTGAAGTTTGAGTGAATGCCCTTCTCAGATGTGATCTGTTCTTTGGGAAAGGATATATGTCATAGCTCTGTTTCCCTACTAGAACTTGCAAGCAAGCTTTGAGTATTTCTTGGAGTAGTATGGTGACCATAGAAAGAGACGGAATATTTATCATATAAGGAAGCTGCTTGACTAACTTTCTACTGCTCTACTACCTGTCCTCCTTCTCTAGGTAATTCTTTCTTTTGTGTCCCCTGTGGATTCAAGAATCCCTCTGAGGAAGTCCTACTGCCCTTTGCTTATAGGTTGATGTGGGCAGTTGCACTTTGCTGCTCACAATTCTATAGAGAGGAAATTGTTTCTCATCTTCGCATTCATCACAATGTTTATTCCTAACTCAAATCAGATAGTTCAATTATGTATGTACTAAAAATTTGGTTTTATATTAAATGCAGCATCCATTTAGTCCTAATTATAAGCCTTTGGCATTATCTAACGTTTTGTGTCATTTGAGATTGAACTCAGGGACTTGCACATGCTAGGCAAGTGTTCCACCACTTGAGCCAAGCACCCAGTCCTTTTTTCCTTTTTTAGAGGAAGCTCATGCTAATTTTGCCTGGGCTGCCCTTGAACTATGATTCTCTTTTTTTCAGCCTCCCAAGTAGCTATCACCACAGGTATACACCACCATGTCCACCTTTTTAATTTTCTTTTCATTCATTAGACTTAAAATGATAGTGCTTCTGTTACCAAATGGCAGACAGAGGATTCTTTTACACAATTTGGGTAGATACCATGGAAAGGCAAAGGACAACTCACTTAGTGTGACAGCTCTGAGCTTTGAGTGCCAGTGGCTCTCAGCTCTTAGGGCTAACACCTCTAAACTCTGGGTGCCCATGGTTCTCAGTGGCTAGTGTTAACAGCTTTCCCAACTGCTCTTGGCAACTTTCCTAGCAGCTCTCAGCAGATGAAGTTAGCAGCTCCCAGCAGTTTTTGACAGCCCCCTGTAACTCCCCACAGCTCTCAGCAGCTCTCCCAGCAACTGTTCACTCTAGGTAGCTCTCTGGAGCTCCTCTGGGTGTTAGGTCTTCTCTGAGCCAGCAGCCCTTCGCACAGTCAGCTCAGCACATTCTACCCATGGTGGAAATCACAAGTAGGCAATAAAGCTGTCTGAACAAGGCTTTATCAGGGAAGCAGTGCAAAAACTGGAGGTTTCTAACTGGCTCAGTGAGGGTGACAGGTTTGCTACTTATGTAAAAATAGGGTGGGCCCACATATTTATAGTCTACTATCTGCTAACTGCAGAATGTCTGCACCATCAAGAAGTCTGTGCAGGTATACTGGGCTTATTTATCCTGGCTCTCATGGTGAGAAAATTGCTCCTTGTGGACTGAAGTGAGGATATCTGAAGCTGCTGAAGTGTGGTCCAGAAAAGTCTTCTTGGCAACTATGATAGCTGTGGTTGCAGGCTTAAGTCTTCTGGGGGTGGTTGTGGGATATCTTAAGCTGCTGCAGCAGAAATGAGGTATCCCGTAGCTGTCATAAGGCAGGTGGAGTGGCAGGAGCTGTTCACAGTTCTACTAGATGACCAAAGACAGCTCCCATGATTTCTGCAGAAGCTGTGGGGCTGAAGTCACAGTACTGCCTCTAGTGTAACCACTTAATGATAGCCCATTTGTACTCAGGATCCATGGAGATTACAGCAGGGGTCTTGGTCTGGCCCCTTCTCTCTCTTTACCCGGGATGGCAGCCCACCTGGTTGTACTCGGGTGATGGTGGCAGTCAAGTGACCAGGTATGGGGGAGGATCTTCATAGCTATCAGTATAGGTTTCTCCTCTTCCCACCAGTCCCTGACAGCTTTAGCTTTTTAAAATGAAGACAAGAACATTCTAAAAGCAATGATTCAAAGAACTTGGCTTGTTATATATGTGAAACACAGAAAATAAAAGCCTTGATTCTTTTTCTTAGCATATATTAGTTGTACAGAGGTTTCTTTGTGTTATTTCTATACTTTGATCAGATTCATCTGATCAAAGATCAGGTGAATGTATGTTTTTTAGTACCTTTCTCAAAAATCAGGTAATTACAGCTGTGTGGTCTTATTTCTATTGATCTACATGTCTGTTTTGTGCCAGTACCATTTTGTTTTTGTTACACTGTGGCTCTGTAGTATAACTGAAGTCAGGTATTGTGTGACTACAGCATGGCTCTTTTTCTCAGGATTGCTTTGGCTATTTGGAGCCTTTTGTGCTTCCATATGAAGTTTAGGTTTGATTTTTCTATTTCTGTGGAGAATGACATTGGCATTTTTATGGGGATTATAATGAATTTGTAGATTGCTTTCATAAGTGTAGCCATTTTTACAGTATTCTGTCATTTCATGAACATGGGAAGCCTTTTCATCCTCTAGTGTCTTCTTCAGTTTCTTTCTTCCGTATTTTATAGTTTTTATTGTAGTGGTCTTTCACCTCCTTACTTGAGTCCTAGGGTTTTTATTTGTTTTTTTGAGGCTGTTATGAATGGGATTACTTTCCTGGTTGCTTTTTCAAACTGATTGTTACAGTCGGTTTTTTTCTCCTTCTTTCCTTCCTTTTTTTTTTTTTAATTGTTGTGTTGGGTGTGGGTACAATGTGGCATTTACAAAGATTCTTACAATGTATCAATATATCATTATCATACTTGAATTCATCCCTCCACTGCTCTCTTTCATCCCCCCCATCCTGATTCCTGAAACAGTTTCAACAGGTTATTATTTTTTGCATTTACATACATGTGTATACATTATTTGCACCATATTCATCCTCCTACTTCTTTCCCCACCACCTCCCACCAGTGCCAAACCCCACCCCCAGCCCTGGGCAGAACCTGTACCACCTTCCTGTTTCCAATTTTGTAAAAGAAAAAACATAAAAGATAATAATAGAAACATGGTGTTTTTGCTATTTTGAGATAAAGATAACTAAATGGAGATTCTATGTGTTGTTTCCATGTATATATATATATATATATATATATATATATATATATATATATATATATACATATATATATTACAACCCCAATTGGTTCATCTCTACCAGTCCTCTTCACTACTCCCTAGTCTCCTTCCCATGGTGGCCCTGGGCAGTTTAAGATTTCTATATTCGTTCCTGTATAGTGAGCACATCAACCATCTTAAAAGTTTCTGGTTTCCTTCCCTTGCCCTCTCCCTCCCCCACACCTTCACTTAGTGTGACCTGTGTTCATATATTGCTGCATTTGTTTTAGGTCTGTAATCCGCATATGAGGGAGAACATGCAGCTTTTGGCCTTCTGAGCCTGACTTTACTTAAGACGATGTTCTCCAGTTCCATCCATTTACCTGCGAATGACAAAATTTCATTCTTCTTTGTGGCTGAGTACAATTCCATGGTGTGTAAATACCACATTTCCTTAATCCATTCATCAGTAGTGGGGCATCTTAGCTGTTTCCATAGCTTAGCTATTGTGAATAGTGCTGCAATAAACATAGCTGTGCAGGGGCCTTTGTAGTAACTTTTCTCACATTCCCTCAGGTATATCCTTAGGAGTGGTATTGCTGGATCCTGTGGCAGATCTATTTTTAGTTTTTTGAGGAGCTTCCATATTGCTCAATAGTTCCAACTCTGGTTGGTCAGCTTCTCCCCCAGCAAGGTGGGCCAATTTGGTTTTGTGCACCACCTCCAGACCTGGGAGATTAGTTTAGCTATCTGCCATGCCCCCACTAGGAGGTTGGCTTATGCTCCACACTCACTCCCTGAGTTTGGCTCCTTGCCCCACCCCTGTTCTCCAAGGTTGGTTCACTGTTCCACCCACCCCTGCTGTCAGTGGTAGATTACAATTTAGGTTTATATCAGAGGGATGCAATGTGCCCATAAACTGTGCTGGATTACGTTCAGGGGCAGGGAGGGGGATATGCATGGTGTGTGGTGCTTACCCATTGGGCTTGCAGATTTATGCAGGCAGCTTTGAAACTGGCTGGAAGGAGAAATGGCCAGTGGCTTTTCTCAAGGCAGATGCTTACTGGGACTGGGTTCAGCCCAGTGGGGCATAAGTAGGCTTTCCACAGGTAAGGGATCCAGTATGTTGCAGTGTTTGGTTCTATTTGATGTTCTATATCTGCTTTTTGTGAAGAAAAAAGAAAGAAAGCAAAGGGAGAAATGGCCCTAGTGGCTGTGCCACACCGGGGTTTCCCCTGGCTGTTACGTGGAACTAAAAGCGGTTTTAAGGGGCAGTCCTTAAATTTTATGTGCACCTTGTGTGTTGGTGGTTATTTAGTTGGCTAAAAAGAGCAGAGTTATCCAAATGTGGCTCCCACATCTTGAGTGGTTTCTGAAATCACAGAGCTCAGGAATTCTGATTCCTTCTCCTATCTGCCATCTTGGATCCTCCTTATTGTTGATATTTATATGTTGATTTTGTGTTCTACTACTCTGCTGTGTTTATGAGATCTTAAAGTATTCTGGTGGAGTGTTTTGGGTCTTTTAAGTATAGGATTGTATCACCTGTAAATAGGGATACTTAGAATTTTTACTTTCCTATTTGTATCCTTTTTGTTTGTTTTTTTCTTTATTTCTTTTTTATTTCTGCCTTATTTGCTCTGGCTAGGAATTCAGGCACTATGAGTGGAGAGAATGGACGGCCTTTACCCATTCTCTACTTTAAAGGACATACTTTCAGTTTTTCCACATTTAGCCCAATATTGGTTTTGGGTTTGTTGTACATATCCTTTATTATGTTGACTTATGTTCCTTCTGTCCCTACTTTCTTCAGGACTTTTATCATGAAACGATGTTGAATTTTTTCAGTGGCTTTTTCTGCATCTATTTAGATGATTGTGTGATTTTTGTTGTTTATTTTCTTTTTGTGTTGTGTTACATTTAATGATTTGCATATCTTGAACATCCTGGAATGAAATCAATTTGATCATGGTGTATGATGTTTTTAATGTGTTATTGAATTGAATCTGCAAGTATTAAAAATTTTTGCGTTGATGTTCATCAGGGAAATTGGACAGTAATTTTTTGTTGTGCTCTTATCGAGGTTTGGTATCAGGGTAATAATTGGCTTCATTGAATGAGTTTGGTTACAGCCCTTCATTTTTATCTAAAGCAAAAAAGAAACTTTTAGTTCAAACCCCAGTATGTCCTCCCGAAAAAATCCAAGAAATCCCAAATAAATAACCAAGCCAAACACAAAATCAGTAGATAGAAATGATAAAACCTTGCTTATGCCCAGGCCAGCCTACAATCCTATTTATGCTTTCTCCCATAGCTGGGATGCTAGACCTGTGCCACCATGCCCACCTTTTTGTTGGTTGACAAGTAACCTTGCAAACCTCTTGCCTGGGCTAGCTTCAAACTGAGATTCTCCCAGTTTCTGCCTCCTAAGTAGCTGTTATTGCCAATGTGACCCAGTGTACCTAGCTTCAGATGTTTTAATGTTCTTGCAAGTTCTGGAAAGTTATTATTTCTTTCCACCTATTGATTTTGAATTTGGCTTATTTTTCTAAGACTTTTAGGTGCATTTTTGTTATTTGAGATCTCTCTGGGTTTTTAATATGGACACTCATAGGTGTAAACTTTTGTCTTTGCTGTGTCTTAGTGATTCTAGCAAGTTAGTGTGTTTTCATTTTATGTGATACTGGGAGTTTTCTGATTTCCCCCTTTTTTTCTCTGGTAACCAAACTGATCATTCCAAAGTGTCAGTCTCCATGCATTTATATAGTTTCTATAATTTCTCTAGTTGATTTTTACTTATATTCCATTGTAGTCTGATAAAATGCAGGAGGCCATTTGAATTTTATTTAGTTTGGCAAAAACTGCATGGACTGCTGAGAAGAATGTGCATTCTGTACCTGTTGGGAATATTCTGTAGATACCAGTTAAGACCATTAGATCTGTAGTGTTGTTGATGATACTGGGGATTATATCAAGTGCCTTGCATATGCCAGACAAGTGTTCTACCACCAAGCTACAACTCCAGCCCTTAGTCTATGTCTTTTTAACAGTGAATTGAGACCATTAATATTCAGAAGTATATTCAGAGGTATATAGTAATTATTTTTGTATAATATTTATCTTTTCCTAATCTTCATTTGCTTATCTATTCGTCTAGTGAGGTTTATTCTTTCCCAAATTTTCACTGTTGTGTTTATCTTCCTCTTCTGTTTATCTTCTTCAGTGTTGCCTTAGTGGTCATGAATTCCTTTAGTTTCTTTTAACTCACGTTTGTCATGAAAGGTTATTTCTCCTTTGGTTATGACGGATCACTTTGTTGGAAATAGTAATCTAGGTTGGCAGTTTTTTTGTTTTGTTTTTTGCTTTTAGATATTTATGTGGAGAAGTATCTTATTTTGAAGGGTTTGCTTTTATGTATGACTTGGTGCTTCTCTGCTTCACCTTTCAGTATTCTTTCCTTATCCTGTATATATAATGTTTTAACTACAATATGGTGCAGAGAGGTTTTTTTTCCCAGTCTTACATGTTTGATGTTCTAAAACCCTCTTGTCCCTAAATAACCATTTCTTTCCAAATATTTTGCAGCTTTTCTGATGTTATTTTATTGACTATGCTTTCTATGCCTTTAGCTTATACCTCTTTTTCTATGCCCATGATTAGTAGTTTTGGTTTTTTAAATGATATCCCGGAGGTCTTTTATTATGTTCTTTTGTACTTTAAAATTTTTCCCCTTATTTTCTGAATGTTCTGATTCATCTATCTTGTCTTTAAGCCCTGAGTTATAGGGCTATCCACTGTATAGGTGAGGCTTTCAACTAAGGTTTTTTTTATTTAATTTAGCAAACATTCCATTTCTGAAATTTCAATTTGATGTTTTTTCAGTATTTGTTTATCTTTATTGAGTTTCTCTTTCATATCCTGCATTGTCTTCTTTGTCCCATTCAGCTGTTTTTTGGTATTCTTTTTGAATTCTTTCAAGCATTTATTCATGTCCTTTTAAGTTTTGTTGATCATTCTTAACAGTTATTCTTTTGAGTTCTTTGAGAGCTCATCCACTTCAGTATCATTAGATTCTGTTACTGTGGAATTGTTTAGTTTTGAAGGAGTGGTGTTGCCTTCGTTTTCCATATTTCTTATGTTTTGTGTTGGGATTTGCACATCTGCAGTGAAGTTATTGCTGCACATTTTAGTCACCTATAGTCTTTCAGTTGATTTTTTTTTCATTATTGTTGTGCTGGATGGGGGTACATTGGAGTATTTGCTAAAGTTCTTACATTATATCAAATATATCATATTTGAATTCACCCCTCTGCTGCTCTCTTTCATCCCCTCTCCCCAGATTCCCAGAACAGTCTCAACAGGTATCATTTTTACATTTACTCACATGTGTATACATTGTTTGGACCACTTTCCCCCTACCTTCCCTCCTATCTCTGGGCAGAATCTGTTCTGCCCTCTTGTTCTCTGATTTTGTAAAAGAAAAAACATAAAAGATAGTAAGAAAAACATGTTGTTTTCGCTAGTTTGAGATAAAGATAGCTATATAGGGAGATTCCTTGTGTTGTTTCCATGCATCTATATATTACAACCCAAATTGGTTCATCTCAACCAGACCTCTTCACTACTCCCTACTCTCCTTCCCATAGTGGTCTCTGCCAGTTAAGATTACTATATTTGTTCCTGTACAGTGAGCACATCAGCCACATTCAAGTTTTTGGTTTCTTTCCCTTGCCCTGTTCCTCCTGCATGTACTCTCCTTAGTGTGACCTGTGTCCAATAATAATAGTACATTGGTTTCAGGTCTATAATCCGCATATAAGGGAGAACATGCAATTTTTGGCCTTCTGAGCCTGACTAACAGCACTTAAGACAATGTTCTCCAGTTCCATCCATTTACCTATGAATGACAAAATTTCATTCTTCTTTTTGGCTGAATAAAATTCTATTGTGTATCAATGGCACATTTTCTTAATCCATTCATCGGTAGTGGGGCATCTTAGCTGTTGCTATAGCTTGGCTATTGTGAATAGTGCTGCAATAAACAGGAGTATGTAGGTCCCTTTATAGTAACTTTAGTCACATTCCTTTGGATATATCCCTAGGAGTGGTATTGCTGAATCATAACGGCAGATCTATTTTTAGTTTTTTAACAAGCCTCCATATTGTTTTCCATACTGGTTTTCTAACTTACATTCCTACCAACAGTGTATGAGGGTTCCTTCTCCTCCTCACCCCACCCCACATCCTCGCCAGCATTTGTTGTTGGTGGTATTCTTGATGAAAGCCATTCTAATAAGAGTGAGGTAAAATCTTAGTGTGGTTTTGATTTGCATTTCCTTTATGGCCAGGGATGGTGAGCATTTGTTCATGTGGTTTTTAGCCATTTGGACTTCTGCCTTTGAGAAAAGTCTGTTCAGTTCAGTTGCGCATTTCTTGCCTGCGACCTGGGTGGGTATGCTGTGTGAACCTGACTAAGAGCAGAGGGAATAAGAAGTAAGATACACACAGGCATACAGATGTAAAGCAGAAAAGCTGGGGACAGGAGGGCTGCACATTCCTGGTGGGAAACGTGAGCGCCTACCTGAGCCAGAATGTTTATTTTATAGGTCAGTACAAGGAAGAGACTTAGGTAACAATCAAGCTTCAACAATTCTTTGATTTAAGGTAAAAGGAATGAGGTTTGGTGGGCTAATTTTCCTAAGGCTATAGAAGCTTAATTACAACACATCAGTTCTGGAATCATCAAGGCACGCAGGACATCTTATCTAAGGTATTGATTAATTTGGCATCAGGGAGTCTCCTAACAGTTCTGGTACTTTATCTAGTTCTGCATCAGGGGGGCTGGAATGCGGACACAGCAGGTTGTATTCTTCAAGGAGATGTGAGAACAAAGGTCAAGACATCAGGTGTTGGGAAGAATGAGGGTAGGAGAGACTGCGCAAACTCCTACCATGGAGAGGCTGTGTAAACTCCATTATATCCCAGTCCAGGATCCATGCCTAGTCTCCAACAATTTCTTTATTGGGTCGATGATTTTTTGGGAGTTCAGTTTTTTGAGTTCCCTGTATATTATGGTTATCAGTCCTTGTCTGGTTTATACTTAGCAAAG